CCCAGAGGGGTAAGGGCCCAGGGCCAGGCAGGGCGGCTCCTGGACCACGATTCTAGACACGCCTGCTGGGGGGTCAGGAGACTCCCGGGAGCCCCCCAGCAGCTGAGGCAGCACTGTCCCTCCCGCATGAGGTCAGCAGGAAGTGGCCTGAGGACAGAGGCCTTCTGTCCCCGTCTGAGGGCCTGCTGCCCAGCCTTCCGGCCAGAATCTCTGGGATGGACATGGGGGGGCTGCAGGCCCCCCTCCTTGGGGACGGCCCAGGGCCCAACGCCCCCCGAGACCCCCACCCCGGGCACCGGAGCAGCCCCAGGGCTGACCCCTCTGGCTGGGTGGGGGGCAGGGTGGTGCCGGCCTGGGGAGGCCTGAGCTGGGCAGCTGCTGAGGTGCCTCACTTGCCCACCGCGTACAAGAAGGGGGGCCTCAGGCACCTCGTCCCTCCGGCCACCCTCTCCCCATGTCCGTCCCAGGTGTCTGCCTTGGGGTCACTTTCCCTCGAGCCCTGTCTCCCCCTCTCTCTGCTGTGTCTCTCCCTCCAGCTCTCTGTCTGTCCCTCTGCCCCCCTCCCCCCTGCTCCCTTCACGCAGGATTAACTCCAGATGCGCTGGGGGTGCCTGGAGAAAGCTCGGGAATGGCTTTCCCTTCTGTCTGGCCCCTCGGCCCCAGCGCCCCCCACACCCCCTTCCACACCCCACCCCCAGGGCTGCATTTTGTTCCAGGAAATAAACAGCATGAGGCCAGCCGCAGTCCCGGCCAGTTGTGGCCGTGAGAGGCAGGCAGGGGCGCAGGCCAGGCGAGACGTTGCCAGAGGCCATGCGGACCCCGTGGGGCTGTGGGTGGTTCACTCGTAGGTCACTCGTCGGAGTTGAAAGAGTAAGTGGCCCAGCCCAGTGGGCTCAGCGGCTCAGCAGTTGAGCGTCGACCTAGGAACCAGGAGGTCAGGGTTCGATTCCCGGTCAGGGCACAGGCCCGGGTGGTGGGCTCCATCCCCAGTGGGGGGCGTGCAGGAGGCAGCCGCCAATCCATGGCAATTCTCTCTCATGGATGTTTCTCTCTCTCCCTCTCCCTTCCTCTCTGAAACCAATAAAAATATATTTTAAAAAAAGAGAGAGCCGGTGAAGGCCAGCAGAGCGCTCCCTCCGCGGGCACTGATGGGGCACCGGCTGTTTGCCTGGCCCGTCCCCGAGGACCAGAACCTCGTGGTCCAGCGAGGCCTGAG